ATTATTAAGGGCAAAGTACTCTTTTCTGTCCGACGGGGAGCAACATACAACAAAAACATACATTTAATTTGGGTATTGTCTGAGTTAACAAAAACGTAAGGGACCAAGTGTCACACCTTCGGCCGACGGCGGAAACGTCGGGCTGTGTGATGTTCATTGAATAGCATAGCCATAAGACATAGAGCAAATAGTACATAATATTTTTATTACTAAAGAAGTGATTACATGGGACTATTACATGAAAATCCTATCTATCTCTTCACGATTTGATCCCTCTTCTTACGTTCTTCTCCTCTTTGATTTTCTAGGAATACATGAAATTTTGAAAACGGTCAATATAAAGTTGGTGAGTTCACAGGTTTTGTTTTGAAAATACTTTTGTTGATATAGGATCCTTAGTACATGATCTTTGTTTATGAATATGAACTTATACTTTCATGATACTTTGTGTTCCTATGATTTAGATCTCTAGCATTTATAGATTTGATTATCTTAATGATTTTTGATCCAACCTATAACGTATTTGTTATGATTTTTCTCTATGAATTACACTCTTATTCACTTTTAAGGTGTATGACATCACTCTTGTGTATATACTTTATGCTTTTCCTAGGTGTCTCATAGGGTCTTAAGTATATTTGTTATTGGTATATTTGATTAATTTGGATATCATTCCTTTTGTACCCTTCTTTAATATTTTCACCCATTTCGCATAATTCTTAGATATTATTACTTCTTTTCAAGATATCACCCCTTTAGTATCTTTCCTTAAGAGATCACCCCTTTCGTATCTATGATATATACTATTACTACTCCAAGGCGCTCCCATATAATTAAGTTAATTAAGGTTTCCAAACATTATTACCATGAGTTTCCCATAATCGAGTTGTTGACTAGATATCTGCCCCGCTACGACAATTCACCGGACATCGTAAATATAGTAGACTAGAAAGTTATGTCGGGCGTGGTTGTAGCTAGCAACTGTAGGTGGGAGTGTCCACCTTGTATAGATCTATACATATCTTTCATGCTCACTTAAGATTAACGATTATAGGATCGGGTTTGCTGAATACTAATCAGCTAAGGATGAATAGTATCGTTCCTCGTCTAACAACTGTTTTGATATGCCATATAGTACATCTTGTTTTTGATCTTGTTTTCCTTATTTTGATTTCTCTTATTGCTATAACTATACCAATATATATATATATATATATATATATATATATATATATATATATATATATAGTATTTGATGTTCTGGATAAAATATTTCGGGCAGAGTAACGACTAGGTACTATGCTTATCCTTAAGTTTGGCCAGTGTAACTACTAGGCACTATGTCACCCTAAAGAATCTGCCAACATAACAAGTAGGCATAATATTATTCATACGATTTTGGCAGGGTAACTACCAGACATAATATCATTATATGGTTTGTGCAGTATAACTATTAGGCATAATAGTATTCCTAAAATTTTGGCAGGGTAACTACCAAACATAATATCATCCGAATGTTTCATGCATTTTATAAACTACTGATATATCACAAATAATGATATTTTGTAAAATCGATAATGTAGCATTATAACATGTATCCCCCCGGGGTAAAACTTTTAAAATACTGGTAAAAGTGGGGTCGTGAACTCACCCTAGTAGCGTGAATCGAGCGAATAGTGCTGCGTCGGGAATCGGGAACCTCGAGGACCGCTCAGGACTAGAGAGCATAATCAGAGAGAGAGAGAGAGAGAGAGAGAGAGGATATAACAGAGTGCACAATGGGGTTTGATGAGCCCTCTATTTATAGCTTGATTTATGGGGGCGTATCGCGTATGTGCGTGGTGCCTCAATTGGGTGCTGACACGTGTCTTCTTTCTAGTGGGCCACGTCACCTGTATCTCGGAGAATCTAGCCTCTGAGCGTGCGCCGCGCACTTCGGACCTACCGCAAATCCATACGAAATTAATTTTCTAAATTCTGTAACTCTCCCATGCGAGCTTCGATTTCGACGTTCTTTTTATCCACGTGTAGATATCGACGAGCACTACAATTTTTCTTTTGGTTATTTTGGCTAATTCCAACTTTTATCTTTAGCCCTTAGATTTGGAAGGTGGTGGTATACTAAAATAATTTTAATAAAATCATAACTTCCGCACACGGATTCCGTTTTTGATGATTTTTGTCTCAAAAATATTATTTCAACGAATACTATGACTTTCCTTTTTATGTCTTTAGCTAAAAATCAACCGATCTCATCACAATCTTTTTACGTTGTACTTTTTATGCACAGATGATTTTATATTTTATAAAATCCATATATCTTTCATCCAAAGTCGAATTTTCATATTGTTGGAATTACGTCGTCATGTAATTTCTGATTATGTAAAAACGTTCATTTGTCGGCACGACTTTTCGCACACTTATTTTCTAGCATTTTGGTCTAACGGCTCATAGTTTTATGACGATGTAAGGACGTAAATACATATATTTATTAATATTCTGCAAATATTGCATTTCTGTACTATTTCATTCCCTTGTTTAACAGCGGTCAGTGATGTACTTTCCTCAGTTGTTACACCAAAATTTTTAACAGCGGCCAGTGATGTACTTTCCTCAGTTGTTACACCAAGCACGCAAATTACCCAAACCACATGGACCATTCGTGTAATTTACTATTTAGAGCAACTTAAATGAATGGTCCCTATGGTTTGGGATAATTTATACGTTTGGTCCCTAACTTATTTTTTTTTAACTCGGAAGGTCCCTACAATTTGTTTTTGTTGCGTGCTTGGTCCTTGTCTTACCTAAAAAGACTATTTTGCCCTTGAGTTTTTAATTTATTTAAATAAGGTGGAGTAAGTAAGGTAAGATAAGGTGAAGTGGAAGTCGGGTTGGGGGTGTCTTTATTTAAATAAATTAAAAAATAAAGGGCAAAATAATCTTTTTAGGCAAGACAGGGACCAAGCGCGCAACAAAAACAAACAATAGGGACCTACGAGTTAAAAAAATAAATTAAGGACCAAAAGTACAAATTACCCCAAACCATAGGGACCATTCATGTAATTTACTCTACTATTTTATTATTTATAAAGTTCAAGGAAAGTGAATTAAAAATATACATAGGTAAAATACATAAGCTAGGGATAAATTGTTAATTTAAACTAAAACCTAGTATTTGACCAAAGTTGACTTAGCTAATTCTTGTAAGGACCATTGTGTTAAGATCCATGCTAAGGAGGGACTGGATATGAAATATTATGGCAAAAAAAATTAGTTGCATGTATTTTAGACGTGACTTGAAAGTTGTAGGGAGTAAATAGTATATATTTTAAAAACTAGTCATGAAGCTCCACCTCTCTTTTCCGTTTGACCTTAAAATCGACTTGGAGAAGATGAGAAGGAAGCTTGGATGATTTTGAGAGAATAGAGATGGAATCAAAGAGCATTTGAGGTAGAGAAGCTAATGCTGCACTAGGAAGACGTTGGAAGGAACAAATCACTCTCATCTCCTCTTCATATTCTTCACCTAGTTCGATCTAAGGTTTGGGTTAAAATCTCATATCCAAAAAGTCATAACACGATTGTTTAGTTGTTATTTCTAGTGAGTTTTGACTTATAGATCAGAAGTATAATCTCCTATTGCTCATTCATTGCTTAATATTTGAGTTATAAATAATTTTGGGAATCATCAAGCTCCATTAATAGTAGATTTCGGATTCTAAGGTGTATATATGAATTCGATATTAATTTGAAGCTTAAATGACATTTTGAAACTTACTTGAAGCTAAGGAATCCATCCATTGAGTTTCAATAATGGATTGATCTAGCTTTAAGAGTTTAAAAACATGTTTAAACATTACAAGGGTTGATTTATCAACTCAAAGTGAAGATCAAGCGGTGATGATTTGAGTTAACAATCTATGATAAGAAATGAAAGCTTATATGACTTGTATTGAAGCTAAATGGATTCTGTTTATTCAACATGTTGAGTCATCACACTTGATCCTCACATCCATCTATAATAATATTTTTGAATGGTTTGGAACTTTAGTGAAACATTATGTGAATCAATTATAAGTATACAAAGAACAAAAAACATGCCGAATATGTTTGTTTGCAAGTTAACTTCATATTTTCAACATGTTTGGTGTATGTCTTTCCTAATTTGACTTAACTTCTCACTTAAGTCTCTTTTTTTTTTCTCTCAAGTCTCTTCTTTTTGTGCTAATATATCTGATCACCGTTTAAAATAAGTAATTTGAATTTAACAACATAAAGTTTCACTTAAATCGAGTAACATCTCAAACCAACCTCCAAAATGTTATGTACAATCAACATTCTAAACTTCACTTAGTTTCGTTCTTTTTATTTCAAGCAAAGATTTATATTAGATCTTGACAGTTTGTCTTTTATCTTAATACAAATATTACCAACAAAGGTATCAATCCGGAAAACCTTCATGAAAATATATGTGGTGTTCTTCGTGTTCTACTTCTACATATGGTGGTGGGCCTCGTGGCAGTGTAATAAACCCAATATAATTTTGTTTCAAGTGCGCCATATAAGATGTGGCTTAGGTGTATTGTAACTTTTTTACAGCTAAATGAATAAATTAGCCATTATATGTTTGATCAAACACGAGTTTATGTCTCAATAAAAAATGACTATTTTTTTTAACTTGGAATTTGATTAATTCCTAGTTAGAATCTATCAAACAAATTTAATATAATATATTCGATAATAAAAAGACTTTTACTTTTGCGAGAAAGAAGAGAAGAGCAAAATTGTCACCAAATAGTATACAATCCAAAAGACCTAATCCCAAATCCTCTTCCAAAAATATGAGCATAACAATTTTCAGAACATAACAACAAAAATATGAACCTCAGGTGAAGAAACTTCAATTTCAATTAATGATTTCAGTCTTACTGCAGAGAAATACGACAAACCGTTAAGCACAGAGACCTATATTTTTGTCCGCATCGCTATCGGCATCTTTATCAAACCGCCAATATCTTGAGAAATTCGTCGAATGTGATACCGTCGGCACCACCGTCTCCGGCGCCCAATCCAAGCATCGCTTTGATTTCATCGTCATTAACGTCAAATCCGGCCGAACTGAGATAACTCGAAAGATCTCGATACCCTACCTTTCCGTCACCGTCTCTGTCCATAGACTTGAATACATCCGCCATCACGCCGCCGCTACCGCTGTTATCACTTCTCAATACTTTCTCGAACTCATCGTACTCAACGTAACCGTCCTTGTTAGAATCGGCCACCGTCATCATGGTGGAGATGACCTCGTCGTCGGCGTCTGTATAAGATGTTTTCAGATCTTCACGGCTGATCTTTCCGTCATGATCGGTGTCGAGCACCTCAAATGCAGAGCGTAGGTTGGAGATATTCCTCGCCGGCCAAAGGGAAGTTCCGGTTGGACACATAGTAGCGTTATTTTTGTGTGTGAAAGTAAAGAGAGAGGGCTTTAGTTTTTATGGTTTAAAACACAAATGCTGAATGGTTTTTTATTTTATAAGAACGGGAGATTCTTTGTATTTATAGGCGGGATCGCGTCGTTTTGCTAAGTAATTGCTTTTCTCTTTAAGAAATGGAGATTTTTGTATTTACTGGTTCTTATATTAATAGTTATTACTTTGCGTATTTTATTACGTATTTATTAATAAAAAAAAGAACTTAATGATCGCACGATTTGATGAAAATCTTATAAAAAGTAATGAACGTTGTTTATTACTTAATTCTACTTACTTTTGTTATTCAAAACTAAAGAAAACAATAGAAAAGAAGCATTTATTTTATAAAAAAAATAAAAGTCAAATGAAGCAATGGTGCGTATTATTATGTGGCTTGAGGCCCTCGTCCATTTCCTAAGACCGACTTCGTCTCTGGATATTGGAAATATCATTTGTGTGTACAAAACCTCCCATTATATTGCAAAAATATTATATTTAAATGTTGATGTATCGAAATTGATGTTACATTACTATACATTGAAACGTAAATTTGTTATTATCCTCTAACCTGCATATAAAAATTAACTAACATGTAATTTATAATTAAAAAAAAAATCATTAGAAACTTTATACCGATATATTAGATATGGTATTTGAAACTTGAAACTCTTACGATGTAAATTTAAAGTGTCACTTTTGTTTCAGCAACTATTAATAATATATAAAATCTTATTATAAGTGAAGTAACAATCACTTATACACTAGTTTATATTTATATGTTTAATATAATAATTTATTAATAATAAGTATATTAATGATATCATTTAAAACTACGATCGACATTTAATATTTTTTTTAAACCGAAGCCTACGATTTTTCTTTTCTTTTTTAAATCTAAACGTGCGTAATACGAAAGAATAGAATAGAAACGTATGAAAAGAGTGTTGAATGATTTTATTTTATTAAAGATGGTCAACAAAAGTTTGACCATTTTCTTCCATGTACATAGAGAAAACGAGCCTCCACCGCCCAATCAGACCGCTTACGTGTTCTCTCTACTGGCCGCCAAATTATCATACTTTACACGTGGCAGGCAACAGGTGGACTTAAAACCTTTTGATTTTTCAAGACGGTAGGAGTGTTGATACACTTACCTAGGTCTACGTAAACGCTACGTCAGTTTTGTCACATTCTTTGTAATTATTTTTCATTTTCATGGTATGAGTTGTCGCAATTGTCATGGTATTTTTTTTAATTAATTAATTTGAAAAACTAAACATTTCAAACATATTATTTTTTTTAAAACTAAAATTTCATTAACTTCAAAAAAAAGCACACAATTACACTTCAAAAACAAAACACATTTGAAATTTAAATAATACACGCTTAAACTTAAAAAACATAACACACTTGAAATTAAGCTAATACAAACTTAAACTTAAAACACATAACATACTAGGGAAAAAAAACTTAAATTAAAAGACAACGAGTTTAAATTTGAGCAAATTTTAGGGACTGCTTCATAATTTGTCAGCTTCAACATGGTAAGTCTGAAGAGTATTCGCTAGCAAAGTATTTTCATTTTCACCATTTTCGGCTTCATACATCACCCTACGAAACTGTCACACCCCCAAACCGGAACGGCGGAAACGTTCGGGGGTGGTTGACGTCATGTGTAGTATCACAACAATTGTACCATAGCAAGCATAGTAAACACAACCAGTCATTGAATACACATATATGAAAAAGGTTTACATTGTTTAATACATAGTTTTGTTCATATCAAAAGTAAAATGGAAAGACATGACTCTAACGCTCCGACTTCTCCAAATTCTTGGAAGTACTTGTCTACTAATTCCCTGAGAATACAAGCAGTTTTGAAAGAATATCAGCATAAATCTGGTGAGTTCATAAGCATTTAGTTTTGGTGGAAAAATGTTCTTTGATTCTTTTGAAGAGTGTTTCTCAAGAAAATCCTGTATTTTCTTATGAAAGCATGTTTGAAAAACCCATTCCTTCCATGACTTCCCGGTTCGTACTAAATACGCACTATCCAAGGAGTCATGGAATGAATACGAACGTCCATTAGTAGAAAATAAACCATCAGTTTTAGAAATGCCATTGTTATCCTGGGAGAATCCTATATTTTCCCTAAAAGCAGGTTATTTGTCCTAGAGGTAGAGATGTCAGTTTAAAAATCCCCGATTACTATTAGCATATATAAAAGTAGTTTTATTGCTCAAAATAAAACAAATGAAGATTAGAGTCCGTAAACCAAAGTTAGTTTATACTTATTTGCGAGTCGTATAACCATACTTGATATGACCGAGATGATGGGTTTTATGCATAAGAAACAATCCTATGTGCTCATACAAACCCTAATGCTTGGATCTAGGTTTCTCTATTGTACATGCTTTGATTCCAAGACTTATAAACCCTAGATCTATCAAATAAGAACTGAAATAAGGGTTTAGTAATTACCTTTGATTGTTATATAGCAATAACAATCAATCCTTGCTTTGATTTGCTTCAGAAAGTTTAGTGCCTCAAGTGTTGCACCTCTAATGGAGTCACAAACACCACTAAGCAACTTGGATGAAGAGGGAGGAGAGAGGAGGCAGCCAAAACGTCCAGAAACCCTAATCTAAGAGTTGTCCACATTTTTTGGGCATAAGGGGCTCTTTATATATAGGTGTAGGCTATTAGGGTTTACAACTAGGAAACCCTAATCTGACTGCTTAGGCCCTAAGCAGCCCATGGATCCCTTTCTTTAGAGTCATGGATGAAATCTTATGGGCTTCCCCATAAATTTCGTCCACTCCACTCTATGGAGTCCATTGCCCACTCTTGCAATTATCTTATAATTACAATTCCAGTCCCTTAAGTTTAATTAATCTCTTTTAGCCACAAAATTAATTATCAATTAATTCTCGACTAATATTAATTAAACAATATGATTTCTCCTTTAATATATTATCCTTATAATATATTAATAAATCATAATTAAACCTTTCTCTCCTTAATTCATCCTACATATTGCTATGGTGAAGGCAACCCAAAAGGACCATGCTCATAATCGGGTCAAGTACATACCAAAATAGTTATGGACTTAGACATTAATCCAACAGTCTCCCACTTGGATAAGTCTAATAACTATTCTGCGTATGACTTCAGAACTTGATCAGCAATCGTAGCTTCCAAAAGCCGCTGTCAACTCTGATCTTATCAGATACGCGTGTCCTTTAGATAAGGGATTATATATTCCTCCATTCTACAAGATATCGTATAGACATGAGACATGGATTGAAATCATTCTCTCAGTCTATGTGTTGTTTCCCGATTTCCGATTTATGACGACTGACTAATTGAACAAATCAAATCAGTCCTGGCCCGGCCGAGCACTTTCCTTTGTCATCACTAAATCATCGAGGGGCCAACAAATATCGCTTTTATCCCACCTTGGGTAAAAGGAATGGATAAACTTTGACTCAAATGCTTGCTTGCACCTACTAATCGAATCACACACAACAATAGGTTTTATAACACCAAGTTACTGGTGTGTTTACTTATCATCAATGTGCAACCGACCAGCAAATAACAACTCACACGTCTCGGTTTCAAGAATATACAATGTTATCGTCTCACCAATCACTCGTGATAAAACCATGAAGTGATTCAAGTGAGCGTGGGTTTAATCCAATACTTTAATCTTATCAAAGCACTCATGAACTCTGCAGCAAACTTGTGCTATGTCTAAACACTTTAGACAATCTACAGACAGATTCATGACAGTCTTCCTTCATACCTACTTCCAACGTATGACCGACTGTGGAGGTTCGAATAACCTAGTTATTCTGGAAGTCAAAACATGCAAAATGAAACGCAATAATAATATTAATCCTATATGGCCCCAAAACTTTTGAGCGTAAATAAAAACACTTTTATTTAAACACCATATTGATTACTCATTATTCATTGCTTACTGTTTCAGAAAATCAACTTATTACTCGAATTATAACCACACTTGTCCCATGCTCCAAGCATGCACACTTTGGTTTCCTATGGTCCATACTTTATGAAATATATCACTTGGAAAACTTTTCCAATGAAACTCATTTCATAATCCCCAATATGTCAGATTCTAACATTTTATGCAACGATCCTTTTGTAAAGTCATAGCACAAAAGACATCAAGACTTGGCCAATGAAATCACAAAGTACTCTATCTGAAATTGTTACAAAACAATTATATAGATGTGATGTCTCTCACTCAAAGTACATTCCTTTGAACATCCTTTTGCATAAAGGTTTCTAATCTAGACATATTTCTTAATATCCAACTCCCATTAATGGAAACATTTCCATATTTGCCATATGACAACTCATTCTTAATAGAATCTTATCTATTCACAATAATGTCAATATAGTCCATCCAATACTATACTTCCAACTACTCACAAGCGACAAATCCTCAGTGAACCTCAGATCGTCCTTTGATAGTTGTTTAATTATTTTAGTCAGAACCAGTTCTAGTCCCTTTTCCCTCTTAATGCCCTAGGCATTTGGAAAATTTTAGAATGGTCAAATATTATAGCATATGCAATCGATCCTATACCCGAAGCGTATTGGACACGATGCATAATGTCTCACATAAAGACATGATACTTCATCATCCTTCTGCCATAATATTTTATGTGCCATGTTCCCACAATTCGAACTATGAAGAGGGATGCCGTAATCATAATCGAATTTTGAGAATGCACTATGTATCCTTGACTAAATTTATTAACATTTCTTGATCTAAGCTTTAGAATTTTGAAACGAAGTATAATATTCTCTCCCTTAATTATAGCAAAACAACTTTTCAACCCTTACAACTTTGCAAAATGAATCTTTGTTTTCTATAATTAATATTGCTAACTTGCAATACTTACCATAATAATCATGCTCCCACTAACATGATGATTATTTTC